CAAATATCCAGATTAATGGCTTAGATTTGTTTGACTATTAAATAAGGTCTGACCCAATAGGATAATTAAATGTGAGCCCAATGCTTTCGGGCCACATATTCTTACAATTTACGGAATATCACTGCATGTTTGACTGTTATTTCCTAATATTTGATCGTTGAATTGATGGATCTGTTGGTACAGAATTATTCTTATTTCGTTCATTATGCATCATTTACGTATGAACCCACTTATATATATATATATATATATATATATATAATAGAATTGTTATTTTTTCGTATATACAATTTTACGTCAATGGTATTTGTAAAATTTAAAATTTTATTTTATTCATGCAATTAACTAAATTAATTGAACATATTTAAAATTAAATGTTTTTCATTTTAATGTTTGTTTTTTGCATTTTCAACTTTTTGATAAATAATTCCTCTATAATCCACTTTTAACTCAAGAGTCAACTAGAAGCAAGTTAGATTTGCATATTACTATTAAGTATGTACATGCATTTTCCAAGTACAAAGTACAAATAACAATAATATATTTATAAATAAATAAAATAAAAAGTTAAATTGGGGTCCAATCACATGAGTGTTAGGTGTCATGGACCCCACATGCTCCGTGAAACAATTTTGAGTGTGGGCCCACGTGGCATTGTCAGCTCCCCCATGTGGTGAATGACCCCTTTCCCCATCATCTCTCCTCTCCTCTCCCCCCATTAATATAAATAAATATCAACAAATAATTTGCAGCAGCTAAGTGACAAAAAATTTTGAAAATTGTTTTAATCACAAGTTCACAACAATAACCACAACAATACTGGTCCCGTTATAGAACTATTCGGTCGAGTTTGAAACTGTTAAATCATCATATAATCGTCAGAGATAGTTGATCTAACAGTTACAAACTCCCGACGGAATAGTTTCGTAACGGGACTTTAACATTCCCTTTAATTCATTTCATTAAAAAAAAATTAATTGCAACATATCTCGCAATTTCATTTTTGGTTTTGTTGACCTTTGGATATTATTATATAATATTATTAAGATTGTAGATCTGCAATCCTTATCATCTACATTGGACAAATATTTTTGAATTATTGGGTATTCCCTACATCAAATAAAATAGTTTTTATATTGAATAAAACCCTCAATTTTGGCACAATGATGTGCAAAATCCAAAAGTAGTTCACATAATTTAAGATGAATCATTATTGGTGAGAAAATTAAAGGCTGAGTTCGGTAGACAAATAAACTAACTAACTATTTTCTATAGCCTAATTAGATTAGCTTATATTAGATTAGCTTATAAGTTTCGTGTATTCATATAAAAGTTTCATTTAGTTGGACAATCTTTTTTTAAAAGCTCAAACTTAAAAGCCCATTTGAAATATTTATTTCAACAAGTTTATCGGCTAATTTTACTAAACACTTTTCTCATATAAACTAGTTTTTCAGCTATAAGTCATAAGCTATAAACTTAAAAATTATCGAGAAGCTATCAGTTAACTACGAATTATATAATTCGAATCAGGTTTTAATTGGAATTAAGGTGTTTCAAACAAAACATTTTCTAAAAATAAAAACAATCAGAGAGAAAAGTCATAAGTTATAAGTTTGAAAATTACTGATCAACTATAAACTAACGTATCAGCTATCAACTAATTTTACCAAAGTCTAAAATTTTAGGACAACATGTTTTAATTTGAGTTAAGTTGTTTCATACAAAACATTTTTTAAATAAAAACAATCATTATAAGTGAGAGAGAGAGAGAGAGGGAGAGAGACCCAATTTCATACATTTCATTTTTTTTCTGATAATTTTCTATTGGAATTAAGTTGTTTCAAACAAAACATTTTCTAAATAAAAACAATCACCATGAGAGAGAGAGAGAGAGAGAGAGAGAGAGAGAGAGAGAGAGAGAGAGAGATCAAATTTCATATATTTTTTTTTTTTTTTCTGATAATTTTCTATTTATAAATTATTATTACAACAATACAACATGGGCAAAAAAAGTGTTGCCTCTTCTTTAAAATTTTGTACCGAATAATTACTCCTAGCAAAGCAAAAGCCATCTAACGGTCAGGAAAATTAAAAGAAAATTACAGCCTCAGATCAGATGACTCCTAATTCTTTTGACTTTTTCACTATTTTGACTACTTTTCTTCATTTTCTTTTTTACTAGTGGGTCCCAGCCAATTGAACTACAGACTTTCAAGAAAAATACAGTAGACAACAAACAATTGTGAGAAAAATCAAGAATGGCTGGGCCCACTCTCCTTTACTGCCTTCTTTTTTCTTTTTTCTTTTTTTTTTTGTTCTTATTTTCCTTATGTATGTATTATTATATAAGTAGTATATAATATAAATAATAACATAATTATATTTAGTATATATATATAGGTAAGAAGAAGTAACTCCGGCGGTGGTGGTGGTGGTGCTAGCGGCGGTGACACGGTGGTTCTAATGCCTGTTCACGGCGGCAAACAAATAAACGAACCTTAATCAATGACAATGCACCAAATTCAATTATTACAACAACATAAGAACCAATAATTGTTTGTCCAATTTGTGTTGTTTTATTTGTTACCTTTCATTACGGTGTGGTTAAGAGGCCCGACAGGATTTTGTAGGGCTACATGCCAATGGTCTCATGACCAGAAGCAAAGCTGTAAACAAATTTGTTGTTAGGATCATCCAATTAATCATATTCCTAATTAAGGCCAACAATCTATAGAGACATAGTATAATTCTTTGTAAGCTCAAAGTTTTTTTTTTTTTTTTTTTTACCTAGGCACTTGGAAGTGGCAAGATTTGAAAGGAGCGACGTTTAATGACGGGCCCGTGATTAAGTTATTGTTAGTGGATTTGACCGAACTGCCCTTCTCTGGTTCTAAGGCTTCGTTGGAGAAGGCGGTGGCATAGTCCCCGGTGGCCTTAGGAGAAGCAAAGGGGCTATCCGGGAGGTTGTGTTCCGAGCTGAGTTCGTTAAACATATCGAGTAGTTGGTGATTGAATATTTATGGATCACATTTTGTATTGTGATTTTAAATTTTTTATTAATTACCTTTCATGGAAGTCGTTTTCTTTTGGGTGACTTTCCTTGCCATTGATGTTCTTCTCATCATCAGCCTTGGGAGAATGGTCTTTGTCTTTCTCGACCTCATTAACAGTCGGTGGCTGCTGTTGGGCTTTGTTCGCCGTAGTCCCAATCGAGCCATTTTCTGAAAAATTAACAAAAACCTCATAGTATCACTAAAGTTTGAAAATTTATGAAAGCCCGGCTCGATTTTTCACGTCCTCTATTGCAATTGAATATTATTTTTCCATAATTAGGAAGAAAATTATAATGCAATCTAACCTCAAAGGCTTTTATCTTTCTAATTTTAGAATTTCTTTGAGTCCTTTGTACTTGCTGATTTTAGCAATTATTATTTGTGTAACCAAATGTCAATTGGGACCAGAAAATCTTGAAGATTAAAAAAAAGAGGGAAATGATACCTTCTTTGGCTTCTGGGTTGCCATTATTATTGCTTGGTATGAGGAGATTTTGATTGAAAAACGTAGGTGAAAATGCTGTCGGAGATGAAATAACGGCACCCGTAGAAAGGGTCCGGTGATGACTATTCCTCTTGACATCCAAAAGCTGAAGACCTATTAGCCTCCGGTTTTGAAGCTCGATCGCTTGCTGCAATTCGGCTTGCTCTTCCAATTTTTTCCTCCATAAAATGTCTGGGTTGTTGTAAAACATTCTTGCACCTAATGCAAAGACAAAAATCAGATTTTCGCAAGCATATTACAAGTTTTAGTTATTCTTTTTTTTTTTTTCGAGGTCGCTTTTTGTGTTATCTTTACCGAGTTGAAGATCGAAAGGATCTCTAGACTCTAGACCTGTGGGGCTGCCACACCCAATAAAATCCCCTCCTCTTTCCATCTGCTGTTGTTTTCTGCCAAGTAATTAAGTAGATACATGACTTTTTTAAGTTTAGGAGGAACAAAAGAACTTTGAAAAGAGAAATAAAGAGTAAAAATAACAATGTAGCATACATATGTAACCTGTGCTTATCCGGGATTTTCCCCTTCTCCTTGTACGGCTTGACAAGAACACGGGCATCGCACACGAAATGCGGGTTGCCCTTGGCAAGAATGAGCTTCACGGTCTCTGGAAAATCGAACGTTACGAAACCGAACATCCTCTTTTGCTGATACGGGATCCTCACATCTTGAACCGGCCCAAAGTGACTATTAAAGATGAAGGGCAAGGTTTATTTTTTCAACCCATCATATATTTCAAAGTTTGAAATTAGCCTACATTTCAATGACAAAGAAAATTCACCTAAAATAATTAGATACATCTTCTTCTCTAAAGGTACTGTCAGCTGGAAAGGTCAAGTAAATCTGCCTTGAACCGGGATTCGTACAGTTTACTCCGAAATCGCCCCTCGGAACGAATTTATGCATCCCATCTCCCATCATCAAACCTCTAAACAGATACCAAAAGAAGTTTAAAATTCTAACAGTTGAGTAGATTGAAGAACGAAAAACAAATTTGAACTAAAGAAAGTAACCTTGGACTGTCAGGTGGAAATTGAAGATAACTCAAGCATTTATTTGCTGCCACTGAAGAAGAAAAGGGGAAACTGTTTGAACTCGTAAGCAGCTGCTGATGAGTTGACTTCGGCCTAAGCAGCTCCGAACACTGCTGCTGCTGCTGCTGCTGCTCCATCATCATCTCGAACTTAATGGGCGGCCCCACCGCGCAACCACCGTCCGCCGCCGCCTCGCCGCCGTGGAGGAACCGGCAGGTGGTCCCGTTCTTGCAGTACCCCCTGGCGTAGAACAGACAGGGCCTCCACCCAAACCCACCACTCAAATCATCAGACCCAAGGCAGATATCGCTCACAGAGCAGCTCCGGCGGTGGTGGTGCTGAAGCCCTGAGGCGCCGCCCCACGCGGCGGCAGCCGCAGCGGCGAGCAGGGGCTCTCCGGCGGTCGGGCTCGAGGCCGGGTCAAAAAAATCGGCACTTTTCGCCGGGCCCATCTGGGGCGAGCCATCGTTGAGGAAAGAGAGCTGCTCTTGAAGCTGGAGCTCGTCGATTAAGTCGGCTTCGCCATTGAAAGCGGACGTGGGGCTGATTAAGTCGTCGGAGGCCTGAAAATCGGAAAAGCTGCTGGCTTTGGAATTGGCCCAGGAAGAGGAAATCGCGGTGGAGGACTGGTTGCCGGCCACGCTGAGCGGAGAAGGGATTCTGGAGGAAGAAGAGGAGGAGCTCTGTCGGGAGAGGGAGAAATTAGGGTTTCCGAAGGGTGAGTTGGGGGAGGAAGGGGTGGAGGGCGTGTTTGGGGAGGGCAAGTTGAGGTCTTTCCTGGTTTTGAGAATGACGGAGTGGACTAAGGATTCAGAGCCGAAAGCCAAACGGATCATCTCCTTCTCGCCGTGGTCTTGAATGAGGAGAAAGCCCATGATTTTAGAAGCGTTATGAGGGTCCAAATTCTGGATCCTCTGGAAAACAATCTTTGTAGCTTCATATGCATCCATGGCGGCTTCTTCTTCTT